CCCGCCCCCCAGACCCGGGCTGGGGCCGGCGGCAGCACCGTCCTGCCGGGCACCTGTTACCAAAAACAAAAGCACTGAGCCAGAGGCGGTTAAACAGACCCTTCATTCTTCCGGGTTGCACTTCACCGACATGAACTTACCGCAGTCCTCACACAGGATCTTCCCAACATCCTTTTTGAGATTCTTTCCACTCGTGTCCACGGGCGCGAACGATGCCTTGAAAACCGAGGGCTCGTCCGTGGGGTCCATGAAAAAGATATACTTGTGGTTCTTCTTGACTTTGGTGCACGGAGCCTCGAATCCAAAATCCCCCACGGTGACGAGCTGCTCTCGCTCCAGACCCCCGCTGTTCCGGGGCCACACGTCCAGCACTTTGACATTCACACGGTACGGCTCCGCGGAGACGTTCCCAGGCGTGGACTGCACCTTGCCCTCGATCACCACGGCGGATTTGTAAGCCTGGTCCTGCAGGGAATTCAAACTCGGGGAGTAGCAGGCGAATGAGACCCCGATGACCAGCATGGATAAATGCACTGAATCAAGCCTCATGCCGCCTGCTTTGGCTCGGTGGTCGCTGGTCGCGTTGCGGCAGGGCTCTCTCGGCTGCGGGGCGATGGCGACAGAGCTGGGTTGAGGAAAGAGACAGAGAGTGGGCTCCAGTAGCACGGCAGCGCGGCAGACCTTGCATAAGTGTCCATGCCATTGGGATCCGCTGCTTTATTTTTTTTTTCCAGTGGTGTTCAGTGGGTAAAGAGCAGCTTTGTACAAGAGCGGGATGATGCTGGCTTTCAAAGCCAGTCACTGCCTTCTGCTGTAATCACCACCATCATCATCATCATCATAAGGCATCGTAGATACATACGCCAGGCGGAGGATTCGGACAATTCTCTGCTCCAGAAGACGCGTCCCTTATGCTGCCATAGTATCCTCAACTGCAAGACGACGCCACTCTTATCTTTTGCCTCAAAAAATCGCAGTGGTGAAGCACCGCTATGACGGTTCCCCGTATCGTCTGCAGCGGAGGCTGAAGACGCAGAAATGCTGCAGTGGAGCACAAGTTTGGTAGAAAAACCAGCGTTCATTCCCCCGGAATCAAACACTTAGTGATCGGCGGCGGGGACGCCAATACGCCGCCTTCCACCGCGGCTTCCTCTCTCTCTCTCTCTCTCTCTCTCCCCCCCCCACCCACCACCACCCCCCCGCCCCCCGCCCCCCACTACAGACACAGACTGAGGTGAGGTGATGCTGATTGTCACAGGAGCTCCGTCAACACAAACGCAGCATCTGAGCACCGAGATACAGAACAGACCAAAAGGTCCTCTCTCTCTCTCTCTCTCTCTGTGTGTGAGTGTCAATCACACACCGTGGTCATCTATCAGAGGCTACACAGGAACAAACCACATCCTCACTCACATGACGTGTCCCTCCTACTACAGCCAAAGACATCAGTCCACAGACGGAGGAGAACCGAGTTCTCAGTGTTTGACTGACTTCACATTCACTGCTGAGAAAAAGAAAAAATAAAAATATAAAAAAACTGATGTTGAAGCATCAGATCTATAATGGTACAACTCACAAGTGAAGTGTTCGGTGAGAAATCTACAAACACAAACCACACGCCACGGAAAACACACTTTTCTAAAGTCATTTAAAATAAACATCACTCGTGATGACGTCACACAAAGGTCCAAACTAAAAAAAAAACAACATTAAAGTCATTTTCACGTGCATTTACCGCCGTCAGAATTCATCACTGCTCGGCGGTTAGAATGCGGATACAGCATGTTGCACTGACAAGTCACAGAGAGCGACACCTGCTGACCACATTTATAACCATGTTGGTGTGGAACAGAGAAGAAAAATGATACCGTGTACCGAGTTAGCAAAAAAATAAAAAATAAAAATGTGGATAATAAACTAATGAATGTAATGAACATATATATACAATGACATTAGAACAGCAGTGTTCTAATGTCATTGAAACATTTCCAAGTCCGCGGCGTAGACACGGGTCGCTGTCCGTGGTGCTGAAAACCGTCCGCCGTCTATAAATTATAAATGAAACCTATGGAGGAGAGCTTTATGAAACCTTTACAAAATAAAAAACTTAAGTAAAACAGAGGCCAAAACCATCACGAACGGCTGCTCGACATGATTAAGATGAAAAAAAAATTTTAGTGTTAGTGTAAAAGTAAAAGAAACACTTTTTTTTCTAACCTTCATGACGTGTATGCAAATGAGTCGGTTACTTTGACTAAATCTCCTTCTTCCCCAACAGAGGGTGCTAAGAACACAGTTGTTGTGCCTCTGTATGTTTAGTTTTTAGTTTGTGCTGGAACAACAAAACTGTGTGATGCTTTTTTTTTTTTTAAGAATTTCCTGTGGAAGACTTTTTGTCCAAACGTTTCTACACCACCGACAACACTCGTCTCAGTGACCACCAACTATTAAATACAACAGCTCAGACCCTGCACTGTCCCGATGAAGACCAACGAAGAAGAGAACGCAGATTATCAGACTGAGTATCAGACAGAGACTGACTGTAAGATAATAAAAACACACAGAGATACAGGGGGAGAAAAAGAGGGACAGCACGCGAGGATTTATAACAGCTGTAATTAATTACTAAGTGACTCGCCTACTATTAATAATGGGTATCAGATGTCCCTGTGTACCACTAGAGGGAGCCCAATCACAACCAGTAGCACGCATGTTACGACTTCCAGGACTTTTTTTTTAATGTCACGTACAGCTGTGCATGTGCATCAGTAGTGAACTGTGACGAGCTCAGGAGTTACATGAGTTACAAAAAAAATAAAGAAATAATAATAATAATAATAATAAAAAAGAACGAATTTAAATATAGTCAAAATCATAGTAGTTATTATTATTTATTAATTATTTATTTATCTTTATTTATTTATTGTCAAAATCATAGTAGTTATTATTATTTTTAAAAATCAAACTTTGTATAATTTTATCATGACGTTTTTGTGCACGGAACAAACGTTGAGGGTTTTTTAAACGGTTGCTGCAACCAGCAACTGTTAAGTGTAAAATATACCATATCGTATGAACAATCAGTGAAATATTGTTGTTTGTTTTAAAGTTCTAAAGTGCGACTTTCTTGGAATTCACTCACCTCGTTTTGCACCACATAGTTGCCCTCGTCTCTTCTTGACTCCTCACCGAAAATCAAAAGCCAACCCTGCACTTCCACCATCTGGCCAAAGAGGGGCGCGCGTTCACCGTGCGTGTTGACATCAGAGGTGAGACGTGCGCCGTTGAACTTGTGCGTGTGTCGCTGTCCGTGCCACGACTCGCCGTCTCTTGTCCATCTTGTGAAGCAGACAGAGGCGAGAAGACCTCCGTGCTGCCACAGGGGGAGAAAAAACCAGAGGAGGCGTTCGATCACATCCACCGGCGTTCTTCTGCTTCCTCTGCTCCTCTCCTCTCCTGCTGCTCCCCGCCGAGGCTGGGAGGCTCTCTGTCTGCAGACCGAGGCTCTGGAAGAAGGAGGTAGGTGGAAACGAGGATCTCAGATCGGTGGAATGACGCGTCTCTTTCCGTGTCAGTCGGATTCTCGGCGTCCTGTCAACCATTTGAGAGTGTGTACCGCGTCTGCACTTACACTTTAAGCACCGGTGTCGTCAGTCGGTCTGCTCTGTCAGAGAGTAACGCCGCTGCCGCCGCCGCCGCCGCCGCTGCTGCTGCTGCTGCAGTGGGAGCTGCGCCTCTGCCTTTCTGTTTTGGGATGTGGAGCAAAACTTTATGGGGTGATCACAGCGGCGGCCTTTAACAATGAGAGAGAGACAGACAGAGGGGGAGAGAGAGAGAGAGAAAAAAAAAACAAGAGCATATTTGGAACTGAGATGTCGGAGCTGGATCTGAGCTGAGGAGCTGAAAACACTGGACCGATATATATATATATATATGAACAAAATACAATGATGGTTCAAGACAGTCAAGAACACGCAGTAACATTTTTGAAAAGAAAATTTGATTGAATGATAAATTTAGAATTTCTTTTAAATGACAAGATTTACCATAAAAATCAAACAAGCGACAGAAGATTTGTTTCTTCCTTTAGAATCACATAAATCACACACATGTTTAAATTAAAAGCGACAGAGAGTTTTGTCACAGTCAAAGATATGAACTTACTTTACTCTAATGATATACTGATAATTAACTGAGACAAATCTGACATTTTTGGAATAAAATCAGTTCTTAAACCCTTTCAGATTCATTCAATTTGACTCACATTAATATTTATTTCGAAATATTTACATCCAAACATACAGTTATATGTGGAATAAACTATTTTAAAAAACAGAAATAAAATAAATAATTACACATCAAATTAACTCCACCAACTATCACCCACTCACCCACAGAGGTCGAGCTCATATGGAGGAGAATTAAAGGCTTTACTACACACGACTGTATATAAAATAGTTAATAAAATAAATACAAAGACTTTACAACTCAGTCATCACAACAAAGTGCTACTGGTTTCTCCTCGTTTCTTTTCCTGGTATAAATTTACTCAAACTCAAAAGTGCAGAGATTTCTGTGAACAAATCAATTTTCTTCCACATTTTTCTTTTTTCTTCATTTATTTCTCAAATTCTCGTTCCGATTTCATGATACTGTTATAACTCCATTTATCGAACAATAAATCATATATATTATCAATGAGTAATAAAATATTTTACCATTTTCACTAGGCTGTTATTTTGTTCATTTTTGTCCCTTTGTTTTGTTTCCGGGCATCTCACCCGAACATCCGGTTCAACTCATGCCTCAGGACATGCACAGGTTTTAGGAGAAATAAAGTTTAAACAATATTTTGAATTGAATTATTTTGAAAAAAAAAAATCATGAGTTAAAATGAGTTTTAAGTTTTTTTAAAAACCGATTCCAACCACAGGACTGAAAGCCGCCACACGGAAAATCTAATTTTTTTCTTTCATCTATTTAAATAAATAAATGTAATTTATTTTACTCAGATGTGAAAATTATTTATTTTATGAAAAACATTTAAATAATGTTCACATTTTATCACCGCTGCATGTATAAATGGAACAAAAAATAAAATAAAATAAAATAAATAACATGGTTTATTTTTTTATTTTTATATACTTTATGACTGGGGCCTCAATAAACGACTATGTGGGACGAAATGTTTAATTGTATAACCCCCCCCCCCCCCCCACACACACATTTTACAGTACAGTCTGTACTTCAACATAAACAAAAGAAGAACAGAAGTTAATATGAGATCAATATTAAACACTAATAAATATGTTTTATTATTATTTTTCATTAAATATCTCTGCAGAAATACTTGGCTATTTATCTTGCATTCAAATGAACAATATTTGCTCCTGTTTATTCATTTACTAATAAATAAATAAAATTAAATATTAAAATATAAAACCTCAGGACTGGACCATCTGAGGTCTGCTGATAAAGGCTGTGGGGGGGGGGTAGTGGGAGGGGGGTTTCAATGACCTCCCCGAGACCTCGTTCTCTCATTTGACCCTTAAACCAACTTTTAGGCCCATAATGCATTTCTGCTGTTGTCAGTGCTGTCGGGACCAGGACGATGTCATTCGGCCTGAGGAGCAAGGCATTACATCAAGGGTTGAAGTTTGGTTGACCAGTAAAATCCTAATACGATTGTCACATATCTACGATAGATTTTTTTAAATTTTTATTCAGGAAAGAAAAGTCTGAATGAATCCAAAAAGAGCTGAGAAACTAAACCCCACTGTCCAGAGGAGTCCTCGAACGAACCATTAGAAACTCTAGACCTGGACCACGTGATTAAGACGACTGAAGTCTTAATGTTTATAAATGTAGTGACTGAAGGTTGTACTGCTAATGAACTGATCCTCGACCCGTCATTTCGGCAGGTCAGAAATGGAGGGTGAAAAAATGAAAACCGCTTTCAGTGGATTTCCTTGAAATTAACTTTATTTTATTAACAATTTTATTTAATATTGTCCCCGGTTCCAATCAACGCAACACTGATGATCAGACAGACGTGGACTGACGTCACTGCTGCCGCCGGAAGACGAACGGTGCTGTTAAAATAACATCAATTCACATCACAGGAAAAAGACGACTCTAAAGTATGTAAATAACTAATTATGAAATAACTGAATACAACGACATATTTTAAATTAATATTTTATCTTAAATATTTTAAATCTGGCTTTTTCACCGCCTCGTTCCATTTTGTCTGTTCGCCGTCACCGGCCTTTTTTTCCCTCCCATAAAAAGTGTTTACGACGCCGCAAAATATTATAAATAATGTCCAAATTATTAAATTAAATGGTAGCAAAAATTTTAAATATATATTTGTCTCCAGGGACAATTTCATGATTAAGCTATTCTTCACTAATGTTATTTGTGTTTAGGTTTTTTATGTATTACACTTATTACATTATCTTAATTTATTAAGATAATGTAATGCATTTATTTATTTATTTATTGATAATATCTATCATAGCCTTTTCTCTGTCATTAATATTGTTATTATGTTATATTTATATTGTTATTAACGTAAGTTGAATTTTTTTGACACTGTTCCTAATATATATATGTCTTATATATGTATGAATGTATATATAGATAATATGTTTTATATTATAATTATTACATTATAATATGTGTCACATTTTTTAATTTTTAAAAAACAACAAAACCGTACATTTAACTGATTTTTTTTTTTTCATGAAAAAAGTAGGCCTCAATTTTGCAGCCTGTGCACGACCCTACAGTCACACCAGTCTGGGCAACAGGTGACAGGTTTAAACTACTGAGTTCTAAAGAAATATAATAATAAATATACTGTTTTACTTTTAAAATAAAGGTAAAACTACTTTACTTGTTCTTATTTCATGTGTATTATATGTCAACCATGGTCTGGTCTTTAACTCGAAAAATATGATGATTTTTAATATGTGTTGTCCACGACGCACTACAGGTTCACTGTGGGGCATTTAGCGTGGCCTAGTGGCAATAAAAAATACACGTTGGTGACAATCACTGAGGGCTCGACGTACGTTAACTATACTAGTGGTAATATAGTACTGGACAGCCGTGCTGTCAGTCACACGTCGTCATCATAACATAAACCCCTCCCACTTGTTGAAATCGACATTTTACCGCCGTTTACCGGTGATTATTAATCACAAAAAAACCGACAAAACAGCGTTATTTCATATAGAGGACGACCTGAAAGTACTGTAGACTAAAGACAGACTAAACTCTGCTGGTGGAGCGTAGCATTACGGTTGAATATTTTCTAGAATGGGGGGAGAACGTACGTCGAACCCCAACTGTCATTAACTCGCAGAGTTTCCAAAAACATTGTAAAAACATTGTAATCCAACATGGCGGCCTTCGCGAAGTTTCTCTCGTCCTGACAGGGATTTTTCAAAAAGGGCCCATTGTAGTTAACTTAAAACAACAATTATTAATTAATGTTGATATTACTGTAAACGTACGTGTATTAAAAAACAATTAAAACTTATTTATAAGCCAATTCCTGGTAGTGAAAAAGAAAACAAAACCCATAAAAGGTGCACCTTTAACTCTACTCTTTTTTTCTACTACCCATACCTCTTTGTAGATCTCGCGAGAGCTGCGGCGGAGGCTGGGGCTGGCCGTGGCTTTGCAGCAGCAGCAGCAGCAGCAACAGACAGAGGGAGAAGGCAGGCAGGCAGCATCATGGCGGACAGAGACAGTGGTAGTGAGCAGGGAGGAGCAGCCACGGGCCCAGGCTTCGCTTCCATTCACCTACCGACAGGAGGGGCGGGCTCGGCTTCCGGGCTCCAGCATGAGACGCAGGAGCTGGCGTCGAAGCGGGTTGACATCCAGAACAAACGCTTCTATTTGGACGTTAAGCAGAACGCCAAGGGCCGCTTCTTAAAGATAGCTGAAGTCGGGGCCGGTGGAAACAAGAGCCGCCTCACTCTCTCCATGTCCGTGGCAGTCGAGTTCCGTGACTACTTGGGGGACTTCATCGAACACTACGCTCAGCTGGGTCCCAGCAACCCGGGGTTGGTCCAAGACGAGCCGAGGCGAGCGCTCAAGAGCGAGTTCCTGGTCCGGGAAAATCGGAAATACTACATGGATCTGAAAGAAAACCAGAGAGGACGGTTCCTGAGGATTCGACAGACCGTTAACCGGGGGCCCGGTTTGGGATCCACACAAGGCCAGACCATCGCTCTCCCTGCGCAGGGACTTATTGAGTTTCGCGACGCTTTGGCGAAACTTATTGACGATTACGGTGTGGAGGACGAACCGGCGGAGTTGCCCGAAGGCTCGTCATTGACTGTTGACAACAAGCGCTTTTTCTTCGACGTCGGATCCAATAAGTACGGTGTGTTCATGAGGGTAAGCGAGGTGAAGCCGACCTACCGCAACTCAATCACGGTGCCCTACAAAGTGTGGTCCAAATTTGGGAATACCTTCTGTAAATACGCCGAGGAGATGAAGAAGATCCAGGAGAAGCAGCGGGAGAAGAGGGCATGTGAGATGCAGCAGCAAGAGGAGATGCAGGAGGACGATGGAGACGAGGATTGATAACAGAGCAGCAAAACAGAAGGGGGTTTTTTTTTTTTCTAAAAAAAAAAACAAAAATGCAAGAGTGATGAAAATAACAAGAGAAATTATAATGACGAACTCTACTGTACAAAGAAAGAAATCTACAGATGGACGTGTACTGGTTTAACTTCAAGGGAGCATCACCCACAGTATCAGACACAAACCTCCACAACCTGACAGTCTATGACATGTTGTCACTCATCGCTGGATGTTATTCCCACTTATCCACCATTAATACAGTTAACAGGCTGCTAAACAAAGTAATAACCTTATATTTGAACGTTGTTTCCTACTTGACAAAACAATATTGAACTGAGTGTTTATTTCCCTTATTAACAGAGAAACTTTTCTACCAGTTAAAGCTATTGTACAAACAGAAAACAAACAAAAAAAGGTTGTTGTGGGTTTGCAATGTTCAGATGGAATCATTGCCCGAGTTCCAGTGAGCGACAAGTTTTCCTTTTCTCATGTGAGCTAAAGACTTCAGCACAAATCAGACGTTCTCATTTTTGAACCAAAACAGTTTCGGAAAAACACAAAAAAAAACAAAAAATCTTTGTAAAAGGTCGTCACGTGTACTTGCCATCCTATTTACCTTGACCAGTGAGTAGAGATGTGTTTACACGTACACCACGAGGGCTAGGCCTGCTACGGAAAACTGGATAGATGTCATGCAGTATAAGACAAAAATGGTATAAATGTAGGCATTTTCATGAAATGAAAAAGTGCTCTATTTGTTGTGCAATATGTATTGCATAAAAAAATATTAGATATATATATATATAGATATATGGAAGTGGTGGACGGATCCTGACATGATGACCTTTGACAGAGGCATTCAAAGATATATTAATATTGTAATTTCTCTCTCTTTGAGTTGAAAGTGTTGCCATGCAGATGGATATATTATAGACTACCTTTGTGTCTCGTTGTTAATGCAGATTTTCGGTTGGTTGTTTTTTTTTTTTTGGTTTTTTTGGTTTTTAAAGAGGTACTTAATGTGTCTTTGATAGAGGAAGTGCGGTGACAACATGTAGCAAACGCCTGAATTGCACATTAAATTCAACAGCCACTCACGCAGCGTCCGATTGGTCGGGAGAGTTTGGAGGTGGAAAGAAACGGAGACTGACGTCCCGTGAGCGTCCGTGGGTCCAGTCCTTTTTAAATATTAAGTTGTTCAGTCGTGGAACTGAAGTTGAGGCGGTGTCGTGGAGTGCTGTTGCTGCATGTTAGTCTGCACTAAGGTAGATTTCGTTGGTTTCCCAAAATATTGGCTCAAGGACCTTCCAAAAGTGTATTTTTTTATACGGCGCAAATCTCAAGTCCGAGTCGTGAGTGGATTCACGTGAAGTCCTGCTGCTGCGGCTGCGGCGGCGGAGGTTGATCTTTTTCTCCATGAGGAGACGCTGAGTAGCACGGTCTGGTCCAGCCCGCGGTGAGGGTTTCCACTCTCCACCCAAAACACAAGTCACAGTCGCAAACAGGGTTTTCAAACTCCAGGCTCGGGGGCCTTTTTTAGGCTGGTGGACTGTATGTCAATAATAATCTAATTATATTTTATTTTTTTTAATTTTCAATGAGGAAAATGCTTTAGTTGGTTCTTGGAGAATATGAGAATAAATATTTGTACTAGTTGCCTGCACTTTAGTCTTATACAGTACACGTATTCAACAGGAACACTGACGTGGCTGCGGAGAAGTCGACTGGAACGCTCGGAGCTCGG